GTGACATGGGCACAGTCGTTTGCATAAACACTGCCTCCAGAGCAAGACATTCACAAATAGTCTTCTTCTCACCATAGGCCCGCCCACTGGCGTTCAGTCTCTTGATACCTAATCAAGCTGAATGCGAGTGTCGCGTTGCGTCAAAAGCAAATAGAAATTACAATATCACAAATACAGATGCGCGTTCGCTTTCTGACACAGTTCACACACTTTATTTTGTCGTCAAAAGGACAAATGGAGTGAATGTCATGACCCCTTTAACTAAAACTAATGGTATTAAAAGGCAAGAGAACAGTCAGTAAAAAAATAAGAACAAATACACAAATTACAAGCATAGATAAATTAGGGATGGGCATTCCAAGCAAAAATAATATTCGAAAATCGCTGGGTATTATTGGATTATTATTCGAAAATCGCACCCCTCCCCTGCATGCACGCACAAATACATAATATAGGCTACCTACCATAAAAATTACAGACCCTTCATTTCTTTGTAAGTGGGCAAACTTACAAAATCAGCAGGAGATCAAATAAATATTTTCCCCACTGTATGAGATGGGAGGAAAAATATACTTCAATATCGCAATTAGCCTATATCGTTGGGTACTTATACTGTATATAAACTGTGGGCATCAGGGAGCCGTTATTAATATGCGGGGCATTGAAATTGCATGAACGCGTGCCTGTTTTTTACTTTCACTTTCGAGATTCGCGATCACATACAGAGCAGCACTCGGCAGTACTTACTAGGGCTGTCAAAATGACTGAAAAACTAAATTCGAATTTTCTACTTAAATGTTATCAAAATTTGAATTATATTCGAATTTAAAAGGCATAATTTCAGTTAGGGGGAAAAAAGCTTTTGGCTTCTCTCCTGAGGCCACAAGAGGGCACATCGAGCAAAATAGTATGCACGTTTCTTCAAAGCAGTGAAAAAAAGTGCATAGTGTTTAAAATAATGTTTATAAACCATATATAATTAATAAAGTTGCTTAAACAATTAGAAAAAAACAGCACCATGCATGTATGTATAGTTTAATACAAAGGACCGAAAACCAAATCACAAAGAGTAGGCTACTTTCTTCATTTAAAA